GGGGGGGGGGGGGGGGTGGGGGGGGGGGGGGGGGGGGGGGGGGGGGGGGGATAGGGAGGGAGACGCAACAGGGAGGAGGTATGGGCACATATGTATATATATAACTGATGCACTTTGTTGTAAAGCAGAAACTAACATGCCATTGTAAAGCAATTATACTCCAATCAAGATGTTAAAAAAAAAAAAAAAAAAAGAACTGCTGTGGAAAAAGTTCTAGGTAACTGAACAGAGAAAAACTCTTTTGATCTTTGGACGATGGCAAATAGAGACCAACTTCTGCTATTTCTTTTCCACAGATTTTTACACACAAAAGGCATCTCTTGAGGTTCAAGAACAGAAATCCTTATGAGGCTCTTGACTTTATACTCTTCCCAAGAGCTAATCCTTCTCAAGTTCAAGTTCCACACGGGGCACCGGACACTTACCCTGGGCATCGCGCCATACACCTCCTAGAAGCAGAGAAGAAAACCGGTTCTATTATTAGAGGAAATACAGACTTCTGAGTTACACTCATCACTGTCACGTCAAACGTGGAGAGAATTACAAAAAGGAAGGCAGCCTGACTGGCCAGAGGAACTTCTTAAGGTCTACAGAGAGACCAAGTGTTTCTATGTAATACCTTTTCTTTATTTAAGGAACTGCATGAATTTATTACTAGTTAAGGGCTAAAGAAACATTCAACAACTTCCACAATATTGAATGGGCATGAGGAGGAGAGCTGTTCCTCCCTCCCGTCAAAGGTCACCAAGACAGTGCAGGTCACACAGAGCGCCTGCGGCCTGGCCGCGCTCCGCGCTGCGGAGCACGCGTGCTAGGCTACGCGGGATGGAGGGGGGGCCAAGCTGCTTCCTTAACAGACACCGTGCAGGGGCCAGACCCCCACCTGCTGCTGTACTGCCTGCACCTCCTCCGCCATGAGACCTTCGGACTCCAGGTCTTCAGCCACCTTGTTAATGTCCTTCAGCCGTGACTCGTTGGCCTTGAGATCCTTCAAAGAAAAAGACATAATAACTAAAACCCACAACAGCAATTCGAAGAAGAGCAACAGGTACTCATAAACTATGGTTTGAATATATAAATTTCTGTCCGATAGGTTTCTTACAAATAGTTTTTCTACTCCTTGACGGTCACCTAAATCAGAAAATGCTGACTGTCACCACCAAGGAAGTAAGAAAACAGCAAGGCATCGGAGACGGTCTGTCTCATGTTTACTGAGCTACCTGCGGTTAATAATAATCCATTATTGGGACTCCCCTGATGGTGCAGTGGTTAAGAATCCACCTGCCAAGGCAGGGGACACGGGTTGAAGCCCTGGTCTAGGAAGATCCCACATGTCGCAGAGCAACTAAGCCCGCAAGCCGTAACTACTGAGCCTGTGTGCCGCAACTACTGAAGCCCACACACATAGAGCCCATGCTCCGCAACAAGAGAAGCCACCGCAATGAGAAGCCCACGCAACACAACGAAGAGTAGCCCCCGCTCGCCGCAGCTAGAAAAAAGCCCACGCACAACAGCGAAGACCCAACGCAGCCATAAATTAATTAATTAATTAATTAATTAAAAGAAAATCCATTATTCTGGTTGGAGATTTTTTTTTTTTTTTTTTTTTGCGGTACGCGGGCCTCTCACCGTTGTGGCCTCTCCCGTTGCGGAGCACAGGCTCCAGATGCGCAGGCTCAGCGGCCATGGCTCACGGGCCCAGCCGCTCCGCAGCATGTGGGATCCTCCCGGACCGGGGCACGAACCCGTGTCCCCTGCATCAGCAGGTGGACTCTCAACCACTGCACCACCAGGGAAGCCCTGGTTGGAGATATTTTAAAAACCTTTCTTTGTGGGGGACAGGACACATGTCAGAACTGTGATGAAATTTTAATGCTAGCCACTCTGGGAGAAAAGCCCCTCAACCCATCTGAATTGGTTATAAGAATACTTTTTTATTTGGCCATACCGTGTGACATGCGGGGGTCTTAGTTCCCTGACTGGGGATTGAACCCACACCCCCTGCATTGGGAGTGCAGAGTCTTAACCACTGGACCGCCAGGGAAGTCCCAAGAATACTTTTAAACCGAGGAATGGATAAACAGGATGTGGTATATACACACCATGGAACATTAGCCATAAACAGTTAACAGATCACTGATCCATCTACAAGGATGAACCTCGACAACGTTATGCTCCGTGAAAGCTGTCAGTCATAAAGTACATGATCTATGATTCCATTTACAGGAAATGTCCAGAATACATAAATCCAGAGACAAGAAGCAGCTCGGTGGCTGCCAGGTGCTGCGGGGGAGGGGAGAGGGGGATAAGGAGTGGCTGCTTAATGGGTCTGTGGTCTCCTTTAAAGTGATAAAAAATGTTTCGGAACTAGACAGAAGGGATAGTAGGGCAACACTGTGAATGAAATAAGTGTTTCTGAATTGTACCCTTTAAAATGGTTAACTCTATGTTACGTGAATTTAACCCCAATTAGAAAATCTACTTTTACACGTTTGTGTGTCAGGTTTAGGAAAGTTCTTTTTTTTTAAATATAAATCTGATTCTTTTTATTTATTTATTTATTTATTTTTGGCTGTGTTGGGTCTTGGTTTCTGTGCAAGGGCTTTCTCTAGTTGCGGCGAGTGGGGGCCACTCTTCATCGCGGTGCGCGGGCCTCTCACTGTTGCGGCCCCTCCTGTTGCGCAGCACAGGAGCCAGACGCGCAGGCTCAGTGGTTGTGGCGCACGGCCCTTGTTGCTCCGCGGCATGTGGGATCCTCCCAGACCAGGGTTCGGACCCGTGTCCGCTGCACTGGCAGGCAGACTCTCAACCACTGCGCCACCAGGGAAGCCCTAGGAAAGTTCTTAAAGCAACATGTAGAAAAAACTGCATGTATTTCCTCAAAACTAGACTGGTGTGAGAAAAGTTTCGATTCAACTCGTCTAAAAATGGCTACAGAGATGAAGGAATAAAGTCACCGAATTTTCATTCTGGTAAATCCGCAGTCAGAAATCAAGAGAACCGAGTCCCCGGGCAACTTCCCGCACCTTCTGGAAGTCATCGAACTTCTTCTGCAGCACCTCGACCTGCTCCAAGTCTGCGCCGACCTCCTCGCTCGTCAGGGCCGCTTCCTTCTCGGTGATCCACTGCTGTAGCTCATTCGCTTCACGGAACAGCATAAACTTCTTACAGCTCTTCTCCAGCATGCCTTTACGCTTCTCCCCCAGTTCCAGCAAGGAACGGTACCTGATGTAATTCGAGAGGGTGACAAGAGGGGGCAGGGGAGACAGTTAGCTTCCTACAGTGGCAAACTACCAGCTCTCTCCAAGATGTGGGTCCCAGGCTGCGAGTCGGTAACGATGATGCCCTGGTGACAAAGTATCGGAAGGCAGATGAAGACCCCGAGCACCCACAGACAACGTCAGGGACAAGCACACACTGCACTGTTCACAACTGGGTGGCTGGGTGGCCCGGTACACTCATGCCCAGCCACGTGCGCACTGACATCACAACCACAAAGGACCGAAACCAAGCGTTTGGCACACCACCACAGGATCCATGCGACTACAGCTGCGAGATGAGATGAACTTGCTGCGCGTAATGTATACAGAGGGCTTGTTCTCCTGCCGTATGATTCTGCCAGCAGCCCCCAGGCGGTGGGGGAAGGTATGCTGAGCTATCTTAAATAGCCTCATATAGGATTTTAGTATCTCCGGAACAGTAGGAAATCTCTACTGTTTCTAAAAATAATACATTTATTTCTCAGAGAGTTTTGGCCACTTCAGAAGGAGAAATCACATAAATCACATTTCGTTAGCTGAACGTTTCTTATGAAGACGCAAATGACACTCTCACCCTTGGGAACTAAAATACAAAAGACTGAACTTCTGGTATCTTTAGAGATGTGAAAATGACAAACTTAGTACAACTGAGTTAAAATTCAAAAAACAAAAAATCTAGAATCTATTCTAAGCTTCCAAAAGTGAAATAAAAAAGGAACGAACTACCAAGTATCAGAGCACTTTACGAGGCACGTGGTTTCCTGCCTACTGAGGGCTACGGCATCATCGGCCTCCGGGTCTGCTGAGAGTGGCTGGTCCAGCACAAAAGCCACCAGCAGGGGAACCAACAACACTCTGAACACACAGCTGCACAGAAGCAACCAACGAGAGAAGCGGCCACAGCCGACACAGCTTCACCCAATCCCCTTCCCTTGTGAGCGAAAGCTGCTGCCGGAGACGGGCCCCTCCCGCCCCTCGCCTTCCTGGACCCACGAGCGCCTTCGAGAGAAGCGGCAGCGGGAGGATGGACGGGGAGCCAAGGGCGGCGCTTGGCGGAGCTTCCGGCCTACTCACAGTTCTTCCACCTGTTTCATACGCAGAGACACGCTGCCGGCCTCCTTAGTTACGCGCGTCCTGCACAGAGGGGCACAGCAAAAGCACGCACGGATTAGTGGGTTAATCCACAGGGATGGAAGGCGGCGGCTCCGATGGGTGCTGTGACGGCGAAGGCTTTGAGTCGGGAAAATTAGGGAGTCATTCAAGAGCTCTTGGAAGCAGGCCAGGCCGGGAGTAAAATCACGGCAAGGAAAGAGCAGGAAAATCAAATTAAATTAGAGGGTTAGTTCACCTTCATTTTCCTGATGTCTGCCACGCTTAAGGCAGTATATGTTCCTGTGCTAGAAACACTGGTCACTTCGCAGAGCCAGGCCAGGGGATACAGTGACCGCCCCGAGGAAGAGATTCTCCCGAGGGCTAACACGCAACTGTAGTCAGATATCTGGTCCACTTTTTTGCTCTCGTATTTATGATCCAGGCCAAAACCTCTCATTCTTGTCTTAACAGTAACAGAAAACGTCTAATTAAGTGTATAAATAACCGATCTTCGCGGGGATCATCAGGGTCAGAAGAGTTCTATTATTCTAAACTCTAGTGAGGATGTATTTTCTGGATCTCTCCCAAGTGTCTAAAGCTTCTGATTTCATTAGCAGAGTAAGATATGCCCTAAAGGAGGGACATAGGTCTTTATGGGGGCTTAGCTACAGGAAAGAGAACAGAGCCGTTTCATAAAAAATACACTCCATTCTCAGAGCACAAAGTCGATAGACGAGACGCTCTCTACGCGGCCTTTTACAAAGGGCAGAGCAGGACGGGTGTGGAACAGCTAAAAACCCAATTTCAAGAACATCTCCTGACCCGGAGGACAAAGGCTGAGATGGTGATAATTAGCAAATGTCTAGGAAAAGAAACTTGCCGATGCAGGGGAAGACAACAAAACAATGGAAAACAAAGGCACGGGTCAGGGATCTTAGGTTCCGACAGAGTTCTGTGGGTTAGAAGCGACTTGGGAAAGGCAGGAAGAGTGTGCTCTTGAGTGCAGACAGGCATCATAAGAGCATTTGCTCCGGAGCCTTGGGACGCTGCCTAAACCTCAGCCCATGCGTGACACAGACTAAGCCCCAAGCGGTGCTGGGCCCTTCGTGCCTGATGGCGAGACCCTTACTGGTTGTCGATCTGCTCCTGCCGCAACGCGATGCTGCCCTGCTCCTCCAGGAGGTTCTCCCGGGAGGCCGACTGCGCAGGGTCCAGCTTCTTCACGTACGCGGCCGGCACGAAACCCTGACGATCGTTCACCTCCACTTTCCACCAGTCCTAAGGGGAAAAAAAGAGAGACCTGAAAGCCAATTCCTCCCCTGAGGAAGGAAGAATCCCAGAAGGCCTGTGTGCATACAAAAGAAAGCTCTAATCACGGCAAGAGAATCCCGTGACGTGCCAAGTATGCAGACGGTCACAGTGCAGCCCTGATGACTCGGGGCAGGAAGGCCAGCCTTCTCTTCGCGTAGACGCCCTGCAACTGCGCTAATACTGCAGCCACAAGCCACGCTTACGTAAGTTAAGTGAAATTAAATAAAAAGGCAGCTGCACTTGCCACATGTGAAGCACGTCACAACCACCTGCGGTTGGCAGCTACTGTAGGGCCAACGCAGACATGAAACAGCCACCACCACAGAGAGTTCTACTGGACGATGCTGCTGTTGAGCACATCGGTCAGACCGGATGGTTAGTTGAGGGTGAGAGTCAACATAAAGACACCAGTCAGGTTTTCTCAAACTCCCACGACTGGGGTAAGCTGAGGGTGTGGGAACAGGAGGTTCTTGACAACGGCCAGGCCGAGGACACTTGCCCAGCCTAGACCAGGAGGGGAGGCAGGCTCTTTGGGGATCAGTCCTATGACACGTGGAGGACCACAGACTCACTCCAGGGACACTGCCAAACCAGAATGTGTCAGGCGAGAAACGCTGATGAACCAGGCAGCGTTTAACTTTGAGAAGATGGAGCCTACGGGGTGACGCTGGCGCCGTCTTCAACTGTCTGCTGTAGTCGTACAGCCTAGAACCAACAGGTACAAGCTACAGAGGAGCAGACTTTGGTCCAAGAGAGAAAAAAATTCCACTTGGAATTTTTTTCAATGGTGAAAAAAGCTACCCTTGAGAGGGTGGGTCATTACACTAGCTTCCGGGTATTCAAGGAAACAAGAGTGGTCATCTTGATCACAGGAAAAACAGGATAAACCTGTATGAAGTGGGAGGTGGACCAGGGAACTAAAGTCTTCAAATTCGAAACCAGCCTCATCCTGGAAAGACACACTCCCAAGACACCCAACTGAGCGAAACTGGTGGTGCTGATGGAGACCCGCCCACGGCCTCTTTCTGCACTTGCCTTGTTGGTGCTGTTGAGCAAGGTGAGGATATCTCCTTTCTTCATGGTGACCTCTCGAGGGCTCTTCTCCTGATAGTCGTAGAGCGCCAAAACCAGCTCCTTCCCGGTCTCGTCATCCATGGGGGCCACTTGTTGCTAAAAGTCCAAAGGAAGGGCAGACAAAATGACAGGATGTCCCCGGTGCGCCACCTAAGCCCACGGCGGACTCCAGCTTCCACAGCTGTCCCAAATTTACCAGACCCGCCTTTGTGAGAGTTCTTCTCTGGAGCTACCAACAAAATCTGATTCAGGAAGTTCAGCTGTCTTGGGATGTTTAAGGTCACAAGAACAACACCTAGGACCGTGACATCTGCTGGCCGCATCCGGGTCCTTCATCTTCCCCGGCCCCCCAGCCCCCAGGGAACTCGCAGCTGCTGAACGGAAGCCACACTCACCCGGCATGACTGGGCCTGCTCTCGCAGAGCCTGGATGCTGCTGCCATAAGCGCTGAGATCCGACATCAAAGCCTCGTGTTTCTTTAGCAGAGCCTGGAACCAAAATAACACACGGCGACCCTGAGCAAGAAGCCAGAGCCGCCCTGCTGCCTCTCCCACACGCCACCTGCCTCTGAAATCTGTTTAGTTACCCGGCGACCTGATCAGTCCTCCACTCTCTCCCCCTTTTTGATAAACATTTAATTTGGAGGAAATACTGTGATTTCTACTACAATCTTTTCAGCCTGCCTTTACACGCTTAACTATGCAACCCCTGAAACACATGAAGGGACATAAAGAACAACATCACACGTACAGCGGATCCACCCCCATCCTAAGAAATAAACATTCCCGACAAGTGGCAGCTCCCTCGTCCAGGGAAGCCCGCTCCCCACCGCACTCGGTGCTTCTGCATTTTCCCCTACTGCCACTTCCAAAAATCATCTCAGGTCGTGTCAATATTCAGCTCACTGTGGTTTTTGTGAAGACTGGCAAGAGAAGGGGTAGGCACACGGCTACACCTAGACCTTTATGAATAAAATTTAAGGGGTCCCCCCAAAAAAGATGACTAACAAACAACTGTGTTTATGTACGTATGTGTACACAGATGGGGGAGGAAAGATGAAACAAGAACGGAGAGATGGTCACGGCTGACGGTGAAAGGCCGTCTCCTCTCTTCTTTCAGTATGACTGAATTTCCATAGTAAAAAGGGAAAAAAGACGCTGAAACACTTCGAAGGGCGACAACCGTGAGGCTGCACCTCCCACATGGTCATTCTCCTAACCAGCCCCAGCCCGGCAGCCCCCAGCTCGCCTCACCTCAGCCGAGTCCTCGTCCTTCCCGTAGTCGGTGCTGCCAACGATGGGCTCCTTCTCCCGCATCCACGACTCGGCCTCGTTGGCGTCGGCAAAGTACTGCTGGGCCTGCAGCGAGTCCTCCAGGTCCTGCCGCCGCTGGGAGGCCTTGGATTTCAGCGACTCCCACTTCTGGTTCAGCTCGTGGAGCTTGGCCTTCACGTCCTCTGCAGCAAAATGGCCTGCGAGGCGGGCAGGGGAGGGAGGACAACGAGAAGTAGGTGGACACGTCGCAACAGGACAAAAACGTCCTCTGTGCGCTCGCAGCACCTACGACACTACATCTTGGGGAGCCAGGCCCCTTCATATTTTCGGTTTTACGAGAGGTCCAGGTTCCAGCCCAACAGATCTGCTTGTCTTCTGCCTCCTCAAACCATTAAGTCTATCTAGACTCTAAGAAGCAGGTATCCCTAGTTGGCGTCAGCGATGTTATCATAAAGAAACAATAAAAATAACCACCCCCACTCCCCCAACTCCCCCAGCTCCCAGTCACGGAGACTCCCACTTGCCGGGCACCGTCTCAGGCTCCTCAGTGTCTGACCTCGTTTAATCCTCACACCTGTGGGAGCAGGTGATATCATCCCCACCTCACAGGTAACAAGTTCAGCTCAGAGAGGTTATGGGCAAGTCAAAGTCACAGTCAGGAGAGAGTGGGGACGGTCTTCAACCCTACAGCCCAGCCTGACTCGGGTCCACGCACTCAGCCTTCCAAGAGGAGCGCCGTGAGGAATGAGAGTGAAGCCACTTTTCTGACGACACTCACCTTCATCCACCATGGCGTTCCCCTTCTGTGTAACTGCTTTGATGCGGGGCTCGTGTCCGGCAATCTCTGCTTGTAGGGCTTGGTGTTTCTTTAGCAGATTCTGGACTCCAATTAAATCTTTGCCTGAAAGAGAAACCACTCCCAAGTCACCCAAGCCATCAAGAGAAGAGGCAGCATAACCGTCACTCGGCTTCCACCACGGTTCACCTAAACTTCCAGTTCAACTTAAACTTGACCTCCTTGCTCGTTCTGACACTGGTCCCCTTCCTGCCATAAGGGTAGAGCCCTTTCCCAACTGGATTCCTGTCTGATGGCGGGAGGCTGACCTCTGTTGGTGGACGCAGCAATGGGTTCTTTCTCTCGAATCCATGTCTCCTCATCCTCGACATCACGGAAGAGCTGCTGCAAACGCAGAGAATCTGCCAGCTTCTGCTTCCGGGCAATCATGGGCTCCTTGAGAGCCTCATAGCGGGCCACCAGGGCTTCCTGCTTCTTCTTGATGTTTTCAGCATCAAAGTGGCCAGCATCCTGGAACTGGCGGGCCTGGATGGTGATGCCATCGATTCGATCCTGGGAACAGGTAGGGCAGAGTCTTGAAAGCCTGGCCCAGCGTGGGGCAAATATGTTCCGGACATTTCTAGGCTGACTTTTATTACTTCCGGTGTGGTCTGCTCACATACCGAGAAAACATAACACGGCTCTTTTCCCATACCCGAGAGCATTCTCTCTGCCACGGTTTCCCCTCGTTCTGGGATCCCAGAAAGGTCCAAGGGAAGGCAGTCTAATTTGGACAGAAGCATATGGTGCACACGTGGTTCTCTAAGAAAATCAACACACTTCATCCCTCCCCACACCAGCTGCTCTTGACTGACTGGCCACTCTCACTCCTGTGCTCACTGGCCCAAAAGCCGCGCCCAGGTCACCGTACCTGGTGTGCTGCCACATCGGCCTCCAGCAGGGCGTGCTTCTTCTGGAGGTTCTGCACATTGGTAAGGTCTTTGCCGTAATCGTCCGAAGCCAGGTGACCTTCCACTTCGTACAGCCACAGTTCGATGTCCTCGACGTTGCGATTAAACTGCTGCTGCTGGTTAGCCTCACGGAGCTTTATTCCTAGTCACGGAGGCAAGTTTGATTTCATTAGTTAACACTCTCCTTCTGCCAGTGTGCTCTCAACAATGGCACCTCGCAGAAGGACCACGGGGCAGGATGCTAGTTACAGCGTCACTGCTATCAAGAGGGTAAAGAAAAACCGCAACCTCTGCTCTACCTTTTAGATGCTGAAGTGGAAGTCGTTTAAGAAGCCTTCTAACCCCCATGGGATAGGGGCTGGCGAATGGTTAAGTGCCCTTGGCTCCTGGTTGAGATCTGACTTTCAGTGATGAGGTCCAATTCAGTCAGGCCCAAAGACCAAATCATCCCCTTCTCACTCAGGCTCCCTGCCCTCCCTGACCAGCACGCTCAACCACATCCACCAAATTAGCAAAGCATCAGGAACCCAGCCAGGGCAGGTGACTCCTACCCAGGAAGTGAGCCCCGAGTGCCCAGGTCACCCAGCTCAGCTTGCCTGGGTGGCACATGTCCCCAAAACACGGAACGAGGGAGGAAGATTTAATTCCCCAAATGGCCTCCCGTAACCCCATGCACACCTCCTCTCACTTTTTTTTTTTTTTCGGTACGTGGGCCTCTCACTGTTGTGGCCTCTCCCGTCGCGGAGCACAGGCTCCGGACGCGCAGGCTCAGCGGCCATGGCTCACGGGCCCAGCCGCTCCGTGGCATGTGGGATCTTCTCAGACCGGGGCACAAACCCGTGTCCCCTGCATCGGCAGGTGGACTCTCAACCACTGCGCCACCAGGGAAGCCCTCCTCTCACCTTTTAGTTCCGTGGCCTCCAGCAGTTTCTTCCACAAACTGATGACCTCATTCATTCGAGCTGCCACCTCGTCCTTGGCATAGTGGTTGACGTCAATCAGCTTTTGCCCGGCTTTCTCCAGGGCGTCAATGCGGCTCTGGTTTGCCGAGAGCTCAGCCTCAAAAGCTTGATGTTTCTGTACTTTCCCTTGCAGGTTGGATGGGTCCTGCCAAGGAAAGGAAGAAGGGGGTTCTATCTTGAACCTAAGGACATCAAGTTACGCTGCATTACCCTCCCACTTATCTTTACAGGGGGACGTATAAAACGACCAGCTTACGTTAAATAGTGTTTATTTTGAAATTTCCGATTTATTTATCTGTGAGTGTTGTGTTTAGCTTACTAACCAAGTGCTACATGGCAATGCTAACAGGACATTACTTTATAAGCTTCGTCCGTGGCGGTTTTCATCTTCTCATTGACCCAACTCTTGAGCTCATCAGAGTCACGGAAAAACTGCTGCAAGTGGAAGGAATCAGCCAGCTGGGCCCGGCGATACATGGCTCTCTCGTGAAGGGCGTTGCGGCGGCTCAACAGCTGGAAGGCAAGGCTTGCTGTCTATCTCCAGCTCTTACCCCCCAAGCAGATCGGGCTCAGAAGAGCCACCCACGGACAGAAAGGAGGTGTGTAAAGAGGCTGCACACTTACCGCATCTCGGCGAGTCGCCACCTCTTCCATCGCATAGTGGTTGCTCTGAATTAGTTTGGTGGCAAACTCGTCTAAGGCCTAGGAAGAAGAATAAGGTTCTTCACTGGTGAGCGACTCTTCCACAGCTTGGCCCCCAGAGGAAAGTGCACAACAGGGCACGGAATGCTCTAGACCTGAACACAGGTCAAGGTTCTCACTCTGAGGTTTGCTATGACAATCTTTATCCCTCAACTGTTGAGTTTTTGCTTGATGTTCTTAGAGGGCATAGAGTTATGCTAGCTTCACTCAGGACTGGACACGTTAGCTTCAGCTAACGTCACAGCAGGAACTGACCGAGTCAGATATGGGTCAACAGCCTTTCAATTCCTACTTCTAAGGTCTGTGTTCAATAGGAAAATATCTCTTACATTAATTCTTAATTACTTTTAGAGGACGGTAATCTCAACTTGGAGGTTTACATCAAGAAAATGACTTCATTCTAGAAGTCGTGCTGTGTCTCCAACAAGGTGGTCAATCATCACCGTGAGACTTTAAGCACCCAGAGCCTTCACTGAATCTGCTCAGGAACCTTTTGGAACAAGACGAGACCTCTGCTGACTCTCATGATTGTTTGAAGCACTGACAGCAAGGAGGGACCTTACTGTAATCTTCTCCTCCTGGGCACTGAGGGATTTCTCGAAGTCCTCGTGCTTCTTGAGAAGCGCTTCCACGCTATCCAAGGAATCTCCCAGGTCTTCATTCAACAGGAACGCCTTACAAAAGGAAACAAAGTGTTGAGATAATGTCTGATTCCTTTCACCTCCTAAGGCTGGAAAGCAAAGGCTATTCTGGCAGAAGGACAAAAAGAAGGAAAGAAGTTCTATGGCTATTAAACCTTCAGATCTCCCCCAGAAAGCCAGAAACCTCTTCAGATTCCCTTAAAACTAATCCAACAAGAGCATGAAATCCTTATTCCACATTCCACTGAAACTTTTTTCCAACAGCTTCCGTTGCTTCTATTAGATCTAAATTACGCATAATGCTATGTTCTAAAGAAACAAAATCTCTTTAACAAAACACTTCGTGCCATCACACTCTCCTGAAAAACTGGGGCCTTTTCTGAGGGGCTTTCGATCTCGGCAGCAAGGACCGTGCCGGCAGAGCCCACAGAAGCTGGCAACCCCTCCACCTGACGCAGAACTGAACGAGTGGTGATCCCCGCACAGAACGCGCTAACCGAGCAGCAGACGGCGCAGGCAGCCAGCCCCCATCCGCAATCACCTCCTGTTTGCTCATCCAGTTGTCCACCTGCTCAGTGTCGCGGTAGAAGAGCTGCAGGTCCATGCACTGCTCGTACTGCTGCCGCCGCAGCTCCCACAGCTCCAGCAGCGCGGCCCGCTCCTCGGAGAGGATGGTCAGCTGGGAGGGAGACGAGGCAGGTGGAGGGAACCTCAGTGCCCACGGCTGCTGGGCAGACACAGAGGCTGCCCTGGCATTTCCAACCCTCTGCCAACCTTCAGGCCTCTGCTCCGATTCAAATAAGGGAAGGAGAACATTTCCTTGCACGTGTCAGGCAAACCACAAGAAACCACAGATCCTGAGCGGCTTGCTGAAAGTTTATGTTAAACCTAAGACGGATGGCCCTGCTCGAATGAATCTAGAATTAATTTACTGCCACATTATCACAAATAATGTTAGGCAAAAATGGCAAATAAACCCCTAGGTAGAAGAAAAAGGGCATCTATGTAAAAGTGAGGCAGCATAAATGGAGTAGAGGCTCTTAGGTGAGAGATGTCAACTGAGTGGGTACTCCCCAGAATATGCTGACTAGACCCATGAATGCCCTAGGCTTAATTTTTAGGCTCTCAAGTTAATGACAATAAAGTGTGTCTTTGAAATGTCTCTTCTTGGTCTCTATAATGTTAAAAATATATATCGTTATTTAATGTTCCTCAAGCATCTTCATAAAGATACTTTGAAACTCTGGAATTATACACACACATACAAATAATACAAATTTGTTTCCTCTTGGCTCCAACTACTAATGCAGGACTCAGCTCCCTGCAAAGCCCCCTTTAAGTAGGAAATGTGTTGCATGTATCCCAAACAAATGGAACTTTCTCTCCCTGATCAATCACCACACATCTTCTTTTTAAATCTCTGGAGTTGCTGTTTCCAGGCGGAATCTCTTGTGTAATTTTTCTCACACACCAGGGTGAAGGCAGCGTCTGGATATTTAAGGCTGGATAATAGCTTTCGGAGACTTAGTAAAAGAGTCTTTCTCCTCTCTTACCTTCTCCCTCACTTCATCTGAGGCGTAATGACCAGCAGCAAGCAGGGCCTGTCCAGACTCATCGGCAGATTTAAAGCTATCTTCATGAGCGTCAATTTCACCCTAATGGGGGGGGGAGGAAGGACAATTTATGCCCAGCATCTTGTAAAAGAGGAAGTTACTGAATTTCACATAACCATTACAAATCAGGAATATCACATCTAGAATGAGGAAAAAAAAATCAAAGATAAGGCCAGGTTTCCGAATAACAGCCTAGGTCATCAAACAGGAGAGCATCATTTATTAAGAAGTCTGTTTCCTACGGGCTTTTTGTGCCACCTGTCAAACTGTCTACTTTCCACACATCTATAGGGTCTGAGCTCTCTGTCTTCTGTTCCATTGGTCTATTTCGGGTCTTTCTTGTGCCAGATGGATTTTTTTTTTTAACATTTAAAAAAATTAATTAATTTATTTTTGGTTGCATTGGGTCTTCGTTGCTACGCACAGCCTTCTCATTATGGTGGCTCTTCTTATTGCGGAGCACGGGCTCTAGGCGCGCGGGCTTCAGTAGTTGTGGTACGCAGGCTTGGCAGTTGTGGCTCATGGGCTCTAGAGCGCAGGCTAAGTAGTTGTGGCACACGGGCTTAGTAGCTCCACAGCATGTGGGATCTTCCCGGACCAGAGCTCGAACCCGTGTCCCCTGCATTGGCAGGTGGATTCTTTTTTTTTTAAATAAACTTAGTTTATTTTATTTTTGCTGCATTGGGTCTTCGTTGCTGCACGTGGGCTTTTCTCTGGTTGTGGTGAGCGGGGGCTACTCTTCGTTGTGGTGTGCAGGCTTCTCATTGTGGTGGCTTCTCTTGCTGGGAGCATGGGCTCTAGGTGCGTGGGCTTCAGTAGTTGTGGCACACGGGCTCAGCAGTTGTGGCTCGTGGGCTCTAGAGCCCAGGCTCAGTAGCTGTGGTGCACGGGCTTAGTTGCTGTGCAGCATATGGGATCTTCCTGGACCAGGGCTCAAACCCGTGTCCCCTGCATTGGCAGGTGGGTTCTTAATCACTGTGCCACCAGGGAAGTCCTGCCAGATGGATCTGTTTATGATTTTATAATACCTGGTAGGGTGAGTCCCTCCCCTGTTCTTCATAATTATCTCAGCTGTTTTTGATGTTTTTTTTCTTCCAAATTAATTTTAAAATCATCTTGTCGGGCTTCCCCGGTGGCACAGTGGTTGAGAATCCGCCTGCCAATGCAGGGGACACGGGCTCTATCCCTGGTCCGGGAAGATCCCACATGCTGCAGAGCAACTAAGCTCATGTACCACAACTACTGAGCCTGTGCTCTAGGGCCTGTGAGCCACAACTACTGAGCCCGCGTGCCGCAACTACTGAAGCCCGTGCGCCTAGAGCCTGTGCTCCACAATGAGAGAAGCCACTGCAATGAGAAGCCTGCGCACCGCAACAAAGCGTAGCCCCCGTTTGCCGCAACTAGAGAAAAGCCTGTGCACAGTAACGAAGACCCAACACAGCGAAAAAATAAATAAGTAAATAAAATAAATTTTTAAAAAAAAATCATCTTGTCTCATTCCAGAAATAAAGGCCTTCGCCTGGAATTGCACTGAATGTATAAATCTTGGGGAGAATTTGTACCTTTATAAGAGGTCATTCCATCCCTGCCCATCCCTTTATTCAGTGTTTCTTTTCTTCCATCAAAACTTTACAGCTTTCTCCACAGATGTCTTATACAACTTCTGTCAGATTTATTCCCAAGTATCTTATATTTTCTGATGCAATTATAAGTAGGATTTTTAAAAATTACGCTTCTAACTGCTGCTAGTGCAGAGGGGCATATCTGACTGTTGTATATTAATTTTTTATATCTAGCACCTCTCAGAACACCTATAGTAATAATAATTTAAAAAATCTTGTTTAACAGTGTTTTCCAGAATTTCTTAGCCATAGAAACCCCTTCTTCTTAAGGTAGAGCCTATTCAGATCTCATAAAACTAGTTTCCCATGGACGCTCTCTGGGGAAATAGCAAATCATTAAACTTAAATTCACTCAAACCAACTATGAAATTCAGCATTTAAACAAAGACACTGTTTAAGGTGGCACAGGATACACGTGGAAAACAGGAGCACCTCCACCTTGCCAAAGCTTGGCCCTTTGCTTTTACGAACCATAGTTATTCTCCTGACATGTAACTCCCTTAACCATCTATTAGAAGAAGGTAAAGCAAGTCTCCAAAGGCAAAACCAGCCACAATCCCTATGGTGAGAGCTACCTGTGAGCAAGGTTTCAGCCACTTCTGGCTATAAGTGACAGAGCTACAGTGATGCCCTGTTAAGCTCATGGCCTTACTTTTGGAAGACCGTACCTTGTGCTCCTGATGCCTATCCAGCAGGGCTTCGGCCCCAGCCACATCGTTGGCAAGTTCATCTGCATTGATGAGGGCTTTCATCTCAGTGACCCAGCTGGTAAGGTCTCTGAAGTCGGCAAGGAAGCGCTGAAGCCTGGGAAACCAAAGGTCAGTGAGGAGAGGTCTCCAGGGGAGGCCCCAGATGGAAGATGCCACCCTAGAGCTCTGAATTCATGTCCTCGGACGTCTTAACGAGCCATACACACTCTAGCCCTCGGAAACATGGGACTCTTTCAATCTAGACTATAAAGGAAAGCAGAAGGCTGAAATCAAGCCTCTAAAATTTAGGTTCTGTCCATCACTATAATTCCCCAAGCTTGTCCCTTATTTTCAATTTCCTTGTCACTCCCCAGTTCAACCCTTAGTTATTAGTAAGAAGCATTCTCTCCCTTTCAATCCCTGATTTACTCAATTTTAACAGAGTATTTCACATGATGCTCAGATTGCTAAAGAGATTATTTCCATTTCTATTGGTTCTAACACAGTGATATGGGATAGAAAAAAGATATGTATAAAGTTATAAATATTATGTGTGTATATGCAAACACTACAAAGTTTCCAGTCTCCAAATATAACACAGAAATATATTAATATACAATATAAAAATATACAACAAATACAGTAAGGAAAAGTCATCTGCCTTTTCTTACTAGCGGACAGCTGTCAAGCTATACAGAAGGTTTCTCAGCAGACAGAACTGACGTCAACTCTGCCTTCCTCTCGCCTCTAAAACAAAAGCCCCCTGGCACAGGCTGCGGGGCCCTGGAGGAGCATTTCTACCTGTAGGAATCGTTGAGACGTGCATGTCTCTCTGCGGCCAGGGTGCGGATCTGCTCCCAGTTGGTGATCAGCTCCTCTCGCTTCACTTGGATCTGGGTGGCGCTCAGAGGGTGGGACTGCTGCAGGCGGTCGGCCTCGGCGCACAGAGCTTTGACCTGCAGACACACTCTGTCAGGGCTGCTCTCCTGACCAGGCTAACTCACTTATAGAGTCAGCTGCCTTCAAAACCCACCTTGTCCTCCAACGCAGCGAGATCTCTCTCCAAACCCTCGTGTTTCCGAAGCAGAGCCTGGACGCTGGCCAGGTCCCGGCCAAAATCATCAGAGGCCATTAACTGTTCCTTCTCCTTAATCCAGCTGATGGTCTCGTCCACATCCCTACAGCACAGAGGCACCTGTTAATCCACAGTTACGACGTCCATCTGGGACTGGGACGCCACGCGGGGCCAAGACCCAGTCAGCCCCACATCTTCCTAGCCTCGCCCTGGGCCTCACCACGCACCCCAGGAGACCCCTTCCCGCAAGCCCCTCAGCTCGGTACCTGTTAAAGCGCTGAACCTCGGCTGCCCCGAACAGCTTCCCCTGCCTCTGGAGGGCCAGTCCCTTCAGCCGCTGCCAGGCTGCGTTCACCTCATCCTGCTTCGTCTTGATGAGCTCCTCCTCGGGGTGCTGCTCCTGAGCCAGGAAGGGCAGAGACTGCGCTCAGACCAGCACCTCTGGCCCCACCAACTGCGCGCCTGGCCTTGGCTCCCTGACACGGCCACCTCAGCAAACCTTACTGTTCTAAAGAAACACTGGCTTTTTGTGTGGAATGAAGGGAAGCTCATTCAGAAAGAGCTTCCATTTCTTGCTCTATAAAAAGGCGAGAGCCATTCTCTGCGCCCTGGAGCTGTGGGGCGAGTCTCTTTCTGTGCATCAGCACCAAACCCCCTGCTTAGTTAAGGCCCTTCAGCTGCACCTCTGCGGCGGCCTTGTCAACGCACCGCTCGCCCCAGCTGCTCCAAAGTTCACTGTTTCAAACGTCACGAGGATATTAATAAGTATTCCTGCCCAGACACATGGTTTTCCAGGTCTGTTCCTGACTTCAGACTGGAGATATTCCTTTCAAAGTATTCTTCCCCACTAACCACATTCTGTCTTGTTTAAATAAAAATAACATGTAAAGTAATAAGGTGAAGCACTTCCGGGTTGCGGGATCCACCTGTGAGATCTCGGGCTTGGCCTGCCTGCTCTCCTCAGCACAACCCTGGGACGGCCCAGGATTCCGGGGGCAGCTCACTCGCCACTTGGAAGGGTGAGATTACATCTGAGGAATGCTGGCCTGGATCCAAAAGGGACCGAGTACCGGTGCCGAAGGATCTACATACATAAAATGTGTACCCCGCCCCCCAAATCAAGTTTTCCCTAAAGCAGAAACTCTCGAGTTCATCCTACTCGATGTCTCCGGAGCCCTGTGGCAGCAGGTGAGAATAAAGCGGCAGTGATAGGACCGCACATGCATCCAACTAGGAGGGGCTGCCCCACTCCCCTCTTAATGGCTCCTGAGCTCCCAGTGGACAGCCATTCATCACAGGGCTCCCCAGGCTCCCGGGAGCCCAGGGAAGCTCCGACTCAAAAAGGAAGGGAAGAGCAATCAGGCAGTGGTGGACGTCTGCCAACCCTACGAAGCTTTCACCACCACACCCTAGTCTGAGAAACCCCGACACCCAGCTTCAGCAGCCCAATAAAAGCTTCAGCCCTACCTGAAAGTGGGTGAAGGAAACAGATCAAAGGAACTCTGCCCTTCCTGCCCATGGCCACAAGTTAGAAAGCATTTTCCAATTTAGGAGTGATCAGTATTGCCGCCTTACTTAGACCTAAACAGAACTCTTAGACATGCTTACCGAAACCTGCTCACTCAGAAATCAGGGACCCAATCAAAACTTCTCTTCTGGAAAAGTTAATGTAATGACGGTCCGTTACGTGAATGCTCAAGTAAAGGAAGTTAATGTGACGATGCTGTGAGAAGCACACGGCACGTCCCTCTTTACCTGAATGAGCTTGGCGGCAAACTGGCTCACTTCATTAACCCGCTCCTCGTGGGCAGCCATGTCCGTTTGGAACTCTTCAAATTTCTTCTGTAAAACCTCCACATGCTCCAGGTCCTGGCCCAGCTCCTCAGAAGTCACAATTGCCTCCTATTCAGGGACCACAACAGAGCCAGAGTCACCAGAAAACACCTGGGAACAATGGCTTCCAGAACCCCATCACAAAACGGGCTCTGGGAGGGGCCGTGGCAGCTTCGGCAGACGCAGTTTTTTCTGCGTGCTGCACTGCCGCTCTGCCGGCTCTCAGCTGAAGACGTGGAGGGGTCCCGTCCCCTTCTTTCAAGGCCTCCCCAGCACACCTTCCTTCTCAAACGTACCTTGTCGTTGATCCAGTCCATCACGTCCTCACATTCTCGTAAGAACTGCACCAGCTTCTGGGCCTGCAGTAGCTTGATTCCTTTCTCCCGCATCTTCTCCAGAAGTAACTCCCATTGGCGGTGCAGCTCCATCAAACGAGTCTGGAGGTTAAAGAGCCCAACCCCACAGATTACAACCTTTTCTGTGGGATCTGGCTCCTCCACAGAGTTCCAACAAGTTAGAAACCTCACAGAGCTCTGAACAAGTCTTTTAAAAAAGACAGATAGTCCCTACACTGAGGGGAAATTGTAAAGTTAACTGAGAAGAGGAAAATGCGTACACTTCACAGTGGTTTGGTAGGTCTTAAAGTACAAAATAACTGACCTTTCGTAGGTAGATGTATTCTAGTTTATGCCAAGGAATTTACTATTATTTTATAATTATCAGTTATTATTGACATCACATTATTTGGTAAGTATTTAGGTAATGTTTTTAGTTATATTAACTGTTAAATTATTACAGTGGGATTTCTAGGTCATAAGACTATTGGGGAGGGAAAGATGAGGTGTGATCATGCAACCACAGCACGAATCACTTAAGTGTGTGTTCTGAATTCACAGAGGTAAAGGGGAGAAAACAAGAGGTCCCATAGGCATCATATGTTTAAAGAAATAACTATGAGGCACAAGTAAAGAAGAAAAACTTAGTATAAAGGTAAAAAGATGGGGTCCTGAAACAATCAGCTATCAAAGAGGATTCCTGGCAGAAGCTGTTTCGGTGCTTCGTGAAAAGATGCAGCTTGTGGTACATACAGTACAGCCCAAGTGAGGTTTACATCAAGCTGCGCCCAGGTGGCAGCCACAGGTCCAAACAGTCACTTCCCAGCATTTTGGGTTCTCATGGCACAGTCCTAGTAAGGACTTGTCAAGAACTAGAGGGATTATCATCAATTCAAGCTTAGGCGATGCAGTCTGGCATTCTAACCCAATCTCTAGGTGTTGATTTTGCCTACCCAAGATACTGGGAGTTTCTGTATAACACAGACAGAAACAAGTGACACAAACACAAACACTACCAGGAGAGAAACCTGGGATCCACCCATCGTTGAGATGCCACTCCCCGCAAACTGAAAAGTTGAAAGCCACGGTATAGTCAACATGGGTGGATTCTCTTAGGAGCAAGTATTGGTGGTTCATTTAGAAAGGAGAAAGCACTGGGAGGAAAATAAAGGCTCACACAATTCACTTCCACCACTACAATCACTTCCATCGCTGATGGTTCAAACCGGAGTCCACCACTGAGAAGGAAGTGAAAGGCATTCCCAGGCAAGGGGGAAAAGGCAACCAACAGCAAGTCAATACTCCACCTACTCGGATGTGGGAGCCAATGTGGGTGGCGGTCACTATGGGGCGCCACGCCGTCCGGTACGGTGTGAAAGTCTAAACCGGTGACAGACAGGTTATCCAGGACACAAACAGTCTTCACACCCCGCCCACCTTCCTCTATGTTAATGTTGCCTGCCAAACTAAGCTACTGAATTCCTGGGCCAGGTCAATCACCAAGACAGGATGACCGTGGGACCTGGGAGCACGAACGCAGGGATTAAACGAGAACCCTTTGTTGTTTTGGTTTTTAAATTTTTTGGCCGTAGCACGCTGCATACGGGATCTTGGTTCCCCAACCAGGGATCGAACCCACGTCCCCTGCAGTGGAAGTGTGGAGCCTTAACCACCGGACTGCCAGGGAAGTCCCCCCTTTGCTCAAATTAAAATTAGGCCGCAGAAGCCTCAAGAAAATCCTCACCTACAAGTCAGCCGTCAGTCTCTCACAAAACTCATTTCCATACCCTCGAGGGAAGAATTGGGGCCAGGCCTGGAACAACTTTCCCACTCCCAGTATGTCTCCTCTTGTCAATACTGCAGTTTTGACAGAGGCCAGTTTCACAAGCTTGCTGGGGTCTGAGAGCGTGAGTGGGCAGGGAGGCAGGCGCGCTCAGGGAGCGCGTGGGCAGCTGGCAGGGTGGAGGAGAATCCTGGCTGGCTCAGGCCAGGTTCTCAAGAGGGGCCTGAGCCAGCAGCAGCTTTCAGAGAAGCAGCTGGGGGAAAAGAAAGGAAAGCTGATGGGAATGAAACTCGGGCTGGGAAAATAAAGTGAATAACTGTAACTGAAGAAAGGAGTAGACTGAAACACTGGTTCTGTCACCTATTAGCTGTGGGAACCTGAGCAAGTTGCTCAAAATTCCCTGAGCCTCAGCTTCTACCCTTCTATACTATGGCTACCTTGCAAGCTTCTTGTGAAGATTACAGATAACGCATGTAACAGTCCTAGCAAAGTGTTCACACATAAATAGCCATTAACAGCTTCTCAACAAATAGTAGCTAACAGTAGTTTCAAAAAAATTTTTTTTGATAAATTTATTTATTTTTGGCTGCGTTGGGTCTTTGTTGCTGCACGCGGGCTTTCTCTAGTTGCGGCGAGCGGGGGCTACTGTTCGTTGCGGTGAGCGGGCTTCTCATTACAGTGGCTTCTAGTTGTGAAGCACAGGCCCTAGAGCGCGTGGGCTTCAGTAGCTGTGGCTCACGGGCTCTAGAGCGCAGGCTCAGTAGTTGTGGCGCACGGGCTCTAGAGCGCAGGCTCAGTAGTTGTGGCGCACGGGCTCTAGAGCACAGGCTCAGTAGTTGTGGCGCACGGGCTTAGCTGCTCTGTGGCATCTTCCTGCACCAGGGCTTGAACCCGTATCCCCTGCATTGGCAGGCGGATTCTTAACCACTGTGCCACCAGGGAAGTCCCTTAAATGCTGCTTTAATAAGATCTCTAAACAGGGAAGAGGGGAATGAAGAGAGCTTTGGGTCTCCCTCCCCCACATTAATTACTAAAGACAAACACTTGATCTATTTCTCATATTTCCCCGCCTGTAACCTGGTTAAACTAATACAGAGCAGCTGAATCAGCAAATCGGCACTCTGGCTGATTTCATTTACAGTAAGACTCTATACAAAAGAGTGGGGAAATGAGCAGATGCATCTTTGTACTTTCTTGGCCGCGCCACGCAGCATGCGGGATCCTAGTTCCCCAACCAGGTATCAAACCCACGCCCCCTGCAGTGGAAGCACAAAGTCTTAACCACCCGACCGCCAGGGAAGTCCCACGTCTTTGTATTTAATTGCATAGACACGCATTATATTGCCTGCATGGGTTGAATGCAGTAATTAAATAGTTGGCATATAGCATTTAGAATTTACTTTTATTGCCTGTTTACAATCATTACTAGTAATAGTTTATTACTAATAATAAGCTTAAGGCTAATTGCAAGTCTTCAGTGTAAGACAGCAGAGTATATTAGAGCAAAGGAGACACAGTAAGTATTTACTAGACCAGAACCTAAGGGAATGAAATCCCTGTGGATGTTCCGCTGTGCATCTCAGGGAACAGCAGAGGATGAGACATTTCTAGCTGTGGCTTTCATCTTAGTCTTTGGGCCTGCCTCGACAGGTCAAGGGCTGAAAAGGTTGGTCCCTCAATGGAACGAGACTTTGGATGACAAAGAACAAAACACAAAGACAGATAAGAAGGAAATCAAAAGATAGGTGAGAGCATCCAGCTATGAGAGACTAAGCGTGCGCACTTCATCCTCAAGAGGCTTGTCTGCCCTTAATACCTTGGTATTGGAAATGTGAAACAAAACAGAGAAAGACCAATTATTGCCCCAGCCTCGACAAATGGCACCCAAGCAAGCCAGACCAAGTCTGAGGACTCCTGCTTCCAAGTAAGCTATGTCGCCACGGTCACCGACCAACGGGTACCACACGCCATTCCTCACAGCTGGACCTTTAACAGGCTTGCTGACCAGACCTCAGTAAATCCCTCCTGGGGCAAGGCACCAAGATCCAGAGAGCAAGCTTTCCGACAGAGAACTTTATAGTGTCTGTGATTAATCCTGTTTATCTTTGTGTCCTAATCCCTAAATTCACCAATTTCACTAATATGCTCTCCCATCCAATTACCATCTGAAAATGTTAAAAGTTTAATATATGCAGTCTTCTTTAAAGTCTAATTGCATCTTAATTTGTTCTACAAAAAGAACATTAATTTCCTCACTGAGTACACAAACGCCTGTTTATAGACCTACTGAATCATCATATTACAAAAGCAGGAGTTGGGTAACTCCATCAGGATACTTCACAAGTTCCTTTAAAAAGCTAGAAAAATCTATCTTTTTAGGCACCCAAATTTACACGTAAGCATGAATCCACATTCCTCTACCAACCAGAGAGGAAGGCCATCCACACCAGGCACGGCTCTTACTCACCCTGATGGTTTCAGATGCAAAGTGCCCTTCTGAGATCATGAGGTTGCCGGTTTCATCCAGCTTCACAATGGCTCCCGAGTTGGCCTGCACCTCAGCTTCAAAGGCCTGATGCTTCTGCAGCTTGCCCTGTCGGTGGACCGTGAAATGAGCCATACGTGCTCCTTGGCACGCGTCATTCTGTGCCCAGCTCCCTATTATTCCTCCCCTCCTGCATCCCACTCCCTCTCTCTATGGCCGCCTCACTCAGCCTCCCAACCATCCCCCTACCGGTTCAATTACTCAAATGCTCTGCCTGCATCTATACTTGCCCTCTGAAAGCTTGGCCATTGAGGACCACAGCTTTGCAGACAGCAAAAGATGCTACAAAATATCGTAATTTTCTTGTGTATCAGGAAATGAGCCTTTATGGACATCCAATCCCTTTTAGAAATACAGAACTATACTGAGAGCCTTCTTAGCATGTACTGTTTATCTTCGACTAATCCATTCACATTCATTCATGATATGACATTTTTTAGCCTGCTTTAGAAGCCATACTCTTTGATTGATTTGATACATTCCATTTCTCAATACCTCTCTTTACTCACATGCTGAGCTGGGCAGGGCCTGCACCTAAACCAGCGTTCATCATTTTCTCTTCTCAGACGACTTTGGCATAGTAAAAGAACCATGGGTACAACCACTGTTCCACTTGCTAAAAAAAAGTCTTTCACCAAAATCAACAAGAAGAAAGGCTTTTTTTTTAAAACAGCTATACAAATTTTCACCAGCAACAACACTGTTAGCATACCTTTCTCAAAAACACATATTCCAAGAGATCAAACCAGACCCTCCCTGAGAAATGATGAAGGACCACCAATGGCTGTAAGGCAGCGGATTGAGAACCATCAGCTAAAAGCATCCACAAAAGATAAATTAAAACCTGCAGGATTCTACATTCATGCTCACTAATACAATCACTAAGGGCTTTTCAGAAGAGTGAGTTAGTCCTTCCCTATGTCTGATCTACATTCAATCTCTCAAGGTCATAATTAGCTCTGTATAAATTTGGGGCAAAGACATTTGAGCTCTGAGTTTTGGCAGGCACCTCAGACACACCTGCAGGTTGGTTGGGTCTTTATAGTTCTCATCAGATGCAATCTGCAGTTTCTCCTGAATCCATTTCTCCAGCTCCTCAGCATCTCTTTGGAAAAACTGGAATCGGTACGAATCTTCAAGCTTCTGGCGCCTAAGCGTCGAAAGCTCCTTGAAGCGGTGGTATCTGTCCAGGACCTGCTGCCTCCTCTCCTGGATGTCCTCTGCTGTCTCCAGCACTTTGACCCCGCTTGGGTCCATTTTCTGAAAAGACAGAAAGTCCTGAAGTAAGCACATGACACCAAAATAGACTTAATGGCATTAGCCTCTTGGAAGGAAATAAAGAATTATGAGAGCCCAAGCAGACAAATGAATTGAAACTGGTCCCTTCTCAGGAGCTAAGACTGAAGCCCAGGCCCCATTCCCTTGTAAAAAATGGCTGCCCAAGTGGGCCTCTCAGAGGATGCCTCACCGACACTGCAATGAGACCAGGCGAGAAACGTGAAGGGGAGAACTATAGTTTACACTGTCAATTCTACAGAGCCTTGAGAATTCAAAGGAAACACCAACTTTGGAGCTCAAAGAATTACTGAGAAATCCATTCAACAGTCCTTTCATCTGATCTGTGCATTTCATGGTGTGGAGATTAGAAAACATTTACTTTTTTTTTTTTTTGCGGTACGGGCCTCTCACTGTTGTGGCCTCTCCTGTTGCGGAGCACAGGCTCCGGACATGCAGGCTCAGCGGCCATGGCTCACGGGCCCAGCCGCTCCGCGGCATGTGGGATCTTCCCGGACCGGGGCACAAACCCGCGTCCCCTGCATCGGCAGGCGGACTCTCAACCACTGCACCACCAGGGAAGCCTGAAAACATTTACTCTTAATTCAGCTTTTCTACCTTTCTAGATCTCAGTCTGTTATTCACTGAAGAAAAGGGAATGATTATCAAGTAACTTGAGTCTTTTTTTTTTAATTAATTTATTTTTGGGGGCTGCGTTGGCTTTTCACTGTTGCGTGTGGGCTTTCTCTAGTTGCGGCGTGTGGGCTTCTCACTGCTGTAGTTTCTCTTGATGTGGAGCACGGGCTCTAGGTGCACAGGCTTCAGTAGTTGCGGCACGTGAGCTTCAGTAGTTGTGGTGCACGGGCTTAGTTGCTCCACGGCATGTGGGATCTTTCCGGACCAGGGCTTGAACCCGTGTCCCCTGCATTGGTGGGCAGATTCCGAACCACTGCACCACCAGGGAAGCCCAGTAACTGAGTCTTTAACATCAAAATCCAATAGAATTTACCTAAAGTAGTGGGTTTCTCAGTCACCCCAAAAAGGCAATCCTACAATCTCCTTCAGGCTGGGCAATGAACAGGCTTTGCTTCATCCAAATGCACAGAATTAAAAGAAAATCACAGCATATCTTAAAAAAAAAAGGTGTGGTGAAAGATTTATCCTACCTGACTCTTACCTGCTCCAGTTAACAACAAACACAGGCTAATTGAGTAGGTGGTACTTCCCCATAGCATTCAATCTACCCCAACTTTAAACTCTCAGATCTGGACAGTTTCACCAGCCTTTAATGTCAAAAAGAAAATCTGACCTATTTATGGGACAAACCCAGAATATGCTCCCTGCTCTTCTCTCAGGAATAAGCCATTTTATCCTCAACCAAGGAAGGACCCACAGAAGGAAACAGGTACACACTAATGACAAACAGCATGTAAATTTGTCAGTAACATGTGACCTTGTACGAGCTGCCTTCCCTCTCTGTGTCTCAATTTCCCAGAATGACTGAAAACACCAGCTGAAAATGAGATGGTCCCAAGACCCTTCTAACTTTAAAATTACATTCTACAGAGAAGGGTCTGTGACCTGGTAAAAAAGCAGACCAGATAAGCTTTATGGTCTCTCACAGCTCTTGTTCCATAATTTATACAAGATATAAAAACTGTGCTGCCCAGGAAACATATTTGACAGCTCTTCCCGTTACCCTGTTCGCCTGGCCCAGCGGATGGGAAAGGATAGGCTGGCTAAGGATTAGGTCTGGAAGCCACTGTGTGCCCCCCCCACTCCCTGCCCCCATCCAGCTGTGAGATAAACAACACTGCTAAGCTCGGGGCAAAGTTTCCTGCTCTGCAGAGAGAAAAGCAGCTTTAAGAGGTGTCAAGAAAAGTTATCGACTGCACCTAACCAACTCTGAGGCCTATCTTTTCTACGAAGAGACCTAGCTTCCTAGGGAGAGAACGTGAGGGGATTTTAGCCCTATCACCATTCCTTCCAAATTACTCTCCACATATTAACCAGTTATCTTTATTGGTTTTCTCCCACAAAGTCCAATGTATTTGTTTGACTATAAGAAGAAACATATTCTTTGCCACGTCATTCCCATGCTTTAAAACCTTTCATCACTCCCTTCTGAGAGAGGAAAGAATCTACCTCTAGTTGAACCTTCCAATCTGGCCCAGCACACCTGACTGCTATGTCTCACCCATGCTCCGCACCCTCTTGGCACAGAGAAATACTCTCTTCCCAAACACATGATTCTCTCTAAAGACTCCAAGTCAGTTGCTCAGGCTTCCTTTGCCCAGAATGTTCAGACTCCAAGTCAGTTGCTCAGGCTTCCTTTGCCCAGAATGTTCTGTCTCTCCTCTTGTCCGGATAACTCCCATTCATGTCTCAATAGGAGCTGAAAAGAGGAAGCTGCAGGGATCTGGCCTCCTTACCAAGCTGTACTCAAGGCTCCTTCCCTCTCCCTCCTTCTCTGATTTAATCACATTTTTCTGCAGATTTACAAAGCACTTGCACATACTTCTCACGGTATAATGAGATTGAGCAATGTAATCTTTGTTGTTGTTGATTTCCGGAAACAGTTAGGTGGAGAAACAGTAGGAAACTGTGTGTCTAATTTGCTTGCTTATGAAATTTCCAAGGAATGTACAGCTAGTTATGCATTTAACAATAGCTCCACCGTACGTGCCTTTCTACAAGATGCCTCAGTCTTTAGTTTAATGTCTATGGTGTTTGTCCTGCCGCCCCAGATGACAGGATTCACTGCATTTCCTTTAGCTGCCACGGAAACCTCTAAACCATCACATTCGGAAGCAGCCCTTTCTGATGAAAAAAGAATTCCCAACATAATAATACTGAAAAGGTTCCCCCTGAGCAAGCCCCTCGGCCTGGGTTCCGCTTGCTGATCTGACCCTGCCAATCCAGGGAGACAGTCCAGCGAGGCCCTGCTGAAATTAACCAACCTAAAAGGCCCTCTTTGTCACCCCAGTGAACTAGAACAAGTCAATTCTATACCAAGTGCTCTGGTCACAGGCAATAATGGACTTTTCTTTCCTGCAGTAGATCAGCTGACGCCAGTAGGTGGGAGCTTGGCCAAGTCACAACTGGCTGTCTCCGGGGAGCTGGGCATCTGAAAGTCAGCAGTGCTCTCCCACTGCTGTGGGCACTCAGAGTTTTCATTTGCGTGATTACAGGAGCCAAGGATGACAGGGTAACGGCAGCTCCTCCCCACCCCCTCTCCTGATAGGGAGCTGTCTCTATACAAGTTCCAGTTTCTCCTTGCTCCTAAATAGCTCATTTCCACAGACTACATTAAACACAGGAAAAAAATCTCCTATCTCCAAAGAACTACTGCCATCCAAAGGTGCTATGACCTCTCACCCAAAACTCTGTGAGAGTTAGTGGAATTTTCTGGACTCTGCCTGTGTGCACCGTGTTCCCTGAGGCTGCTGCACACTGCAAGAAGTCCACCCCAGGCCAGAAATGTGCAGCTGACTGATAGGGCGGACTCCACAAAGAATGCCCTGGGCTGTTCCCAGCCTTAATGGGATTAACACCTTTTGAGAGCTAGAAAGGAAGACTTTGGGAAATGTGCCATTAAAAAAAAAAAAAATCTCCAACCATACCAGCCTATCTATCTATTCCACTAACTGCCTAAAAACCGCAAAGGAGCCAAATTCCAAGACAGCAATTAATTGACTGCTTATCTCAACTCTGATTTTGTCAATCTGGTCTATGTTTGTGGCTAATGAAGGAGGGGAGACGAAGGGCTAAATATACTCTCTGTTTAAGGACAGCTTCCCATTTAGGGGAACTGAAGAAAAAAGGTCATATTTTGGCAAATAATTATTAGAGAATACTGGCTATTTTGAAATGCTGCTGCAATGCAGCAGTCAAAATGTTAGCTGTATCATTCAGCAAGTAATGTGAATTGAGCACAGAGGATAAAACAGGAATTACAACTATGTCCTCTATTGTAATAAATAAAAAGAACTTGTCAGCATTCTTACAATACAGCTAGATCTCTGAGAAGAAAGCCAAAATATGAATCTCGGCTAGAAAGTTCTGGTTTAATCCAAAGTCATGCACGAGAATGACTCCTCATAACCAACACCAACTTATACACATTATCAATGGAAAATGATTCCTACAAAAGAAGCCAGCCATTAATTAATATCTTTGTCTTCCTGACGACCGCCAACAGACAGCTGCTGTTCGAGGCAGTTCTTGCTATGTACTTAGGGAAGTTTTTAAAGCCTTACCCTCATCCACAGAAGCTATAAGACCACTGTGCAAGGGGAGGTGCCTGTCTCCGGAGGGCGGGGAGAGGCAGTGGGTGGGAAGAACACTGTTAAGCAACAGAAAAGACTGTGGAGACACACACTTTCAAACCAAAGGTCAAATGCTTCCAACTCTGCTCACTTGGCACCTGCAGTGAGTGAGTAGCTTAGGACACCCTCACGCAGATCTTGGAGAGTGGAAGAATTCACTAGTCAAGAGATTCCCTCTGGAACCTCAGAAGACAGTAAAACTGTCATGAAGACAAGAGGAGTACCTATTTGGAAACAAAGGTCTGGGAGTGCCGACATCTTAGCGAGCTGAATGTGGCAGACATGGGCGTTTGGAACACTGCAAGATGAATTCAGACCTCAGGCAGGACTCAGATATACTGTTTTGCAGGGAAAGGGATTTTCAGGACTAACAGGATGAAGAGAGCATTTGGCTCTATGGAAAAATTCATAAACATCACCCAGAGCAAAATGTCAGAGGAACCATCCATCAGTTCTGGTTTTGTTGCTTAGTCAGAGCCCAAAGGCGCAGAACCAACAATGCCCTTTTTCCCTGGCTTAGAAAGCCAGCACATTTTACATTTCCAAAGCAGGAGGACTACATCCACGGATGTGGAAGGGATCCCCGAGAACAAAGCACCAAAGAATTGGTGAGCACCATAAAATTTGATGCCAACTGATTCGCAGATTAAGTGAATTAAGTCAAAACCAGCTCGGCTGCAGATTTTAGTGGTAGACCTGAGGGTAAGCAAAGAGGTAAATGATATATAAATTAAGAATTTTAACCATGGAAAAAACAGAAATATTTTTGCTTAAACCGCATTCCAATCAGGATTGTAGATCTGCACGTCAGCCTTCAAATTGATTCATTTCAACTTGTTAGCAGGATTCTGCAGAGGTGAGCAGGGATTTAGCTTAAAGAAGCAAAAGATTCATACTGCACTGCATCAAAATCCAGAAACGCCAAGCAAGGTTGAGAAAACTTACTCCTGAATGCCTCCAAAACACTACCTTGCTGCTACTTACCTTTTATAACCTGTAAAATCCAGATGAGAGGTGTTTAAGTGCAAAATATTGTTACTGAGATTCAAAATAGGAAAAAGGTATAACGTGCCCATTTTTATAAACCTTGTTTAAACAAGTAACCAGTCTGATTTATAAAAGGGCTTGCCTCGGATTTATCACCCATAATCACTAGAAATTTGCAGAGCTTATATTTCTGCTTATGGGATATCAAGACATTAATTTTAAGCATTTTTCTTTCTGAAAAAGGTCCAATTTAGCAAACACTTAAAAACTGTACACAAATAAAAACACGGGTAGTGAGCTTTTCTATAAACAAGAAAATCCAAGTTCCATTTCATTATAAGGATTGTGGCAAAAAACGCAAATCAATGGAAACAGGAAACAAACCCAAGTTTACAATATTTGTCAAATTGAAAAACACTATTTTTACATGTTTTCAGATGACTTTTTCTAAATATCTAAGATAATGTGTTTAGTCCCTTGGTTTTTAAGAACCAAGTAACCATCAATAAAAAAAATTAGCAAACAGTACATGCAGACACCAGTAGGGTGATAAGAAATTAATATATTCATGCCTTAAAGAGAGGAAGGTAAAAAAACAAAGGCTTTGGAAATTTTAGAATAAATCTACTAAGACTTTTGTTCATGTAACACCAAAGAAAACAAACAAAAGCCCAAACCCTAACCAATTTGCTTAACAGGTCATGCAGGCGGGGTTTCTTCCCCCTCTCTTTGGATCACTCAACCTCTTTGACACATATGTGTCTTCACTGCAAGCCAGGCAAAACCGAAAAGGTAACACACTTCCCGCATGCCGGTCAAATACCTGGACTCTGCGTTTACGAAATGATGACAGCATGATGGAGGAATGTGGCGTCTGAAGAGGGAGGGCGGAGAGCAAGGTAACAAGCTTCTAAGGGCAAACTGAACACGATCATTTCACAATGAAGACAACAGATGTTTAAAAATATATGAATACAGGTAAAAATCAAATTTCAGCTATTTTCCCAGCGCTCTTCTCATTCTACAGAGCTTCTAAACCAGGAATTGAAAATGCAGAAAGAACCAAGGTTCTCTGGTCTGAGCAGATGTGATGCCTTGGCCACGTCATACCCTCTTCTGGGTCTCAGTTTCCCAATTTTCAAATAATCCTGAATAATACTAAATATCCCTTTTCTAGACGTGCACTCCCCCAATCCACGTTCCGATACATTAGCTGAGATTCCCAGTACTAGATGATTTCTGTACCCCCTTCCATTCAGTAATAAAATAGCATAATTTCTTGAAGTCATCAGAAACAAGAACGAACTCAAGCTACAAAGATCAACCTTGGGCCTAGTTTACTGGGACACTTCCTTCACAAAATACTATCTCCTGTTCAAAACCCATACAAGAGGAGTGTGCAAAAGAGGTGGAAGGGAAGTACAAGGGCAGCTGCTTCTGCCCACTGGCCCCAAGCGATCAGTTCTGTGGGCCTCCACTGCATTCCTGGAGTCGCCATTTGCCATCAGGGTGCTGCAGCTGATGGGCTGCAGCAGACCCACCGCACGACTAGCAGAGTCCTCGCGTAGCCCACAGAGGATTGATTACAAGGCCGGATTCGTGCCCACTGTCCTTAGTGCAGGTTCAGCAATGACAGGACTGTGGACTACTCCTGACACCCACTTCTCAGCATCTGCAGTCGCCCCCCCACTGCCGCCCCCGAGCCCAAGGGAAGAAGGCAGGTAAAGGAAAAGCAGAGGAAAGTCTAACCCAGGGAACCAAAAGATATACTTAAAAACAGCTCTCCCCACCTAAACCTGTTCATGAGATTGCTTGACAAGCTCATATTGTGAGCCTGTGACGTATCAGGTTGCTGATTATTCAATTCCTACAAACGCCCTGCCAAAGACCAAAAGCATATCGGAGAATGTTACCCAGCTGACCGTTTACTGCAGGTCTGCCTCACACCTGTCCAGCAGAGAGCAAATCCACCTTCTGAGTCTCGGCTCTCCATCTAGGTCCCTGGATAACAGCTAACACACTTTGAGGGTCCCTTTGAGTAATACTGGCCCAGTTACTAAAAAAGGCTTACTGTTAATTTCCTGCACAGAGGCCCTTACTGCAGCACGTTTTTATTTTCCTGCAGCACACTTTTAAAACTCGGACTTCAATTTGACCCTTCAAAAGCTGACATTAGCTGCAGACAAAAGGGAAAATACATGACTAGTCTGATGAGTTGGAACCTTGGCTCGATGGCTTCATACAGCTGAGTGTTCCCACCGCTTTTCTTCAGGTTTTCTGTTTCCTGGCTGCAGACACTCCCACCCTTCCATCTTTGACACATTCTGTTTTAGTTAAGTCCAATTGCTATGACGACGCAATTTCTCAACACATTCTGAAAATATTTCATATGGTCTCTCTTCTCTTCTTCCCTAACAGCCATCATGGTAAGTTTTTCTAATACACCATGATGAAGACAGAACAAAGGGCCTACATAGTTTAGGATCTATTATACAAAAGAGATTTGACAAGGTGTTGGCCAGTTCAAGCATCATCTCAACCCAGCTTCCTGAGCTATTCAAGCTTTTAATTTAAAACATATTCAGCCCTTAACCTTGACAAGCCCTTTGTTTAAAATACATTTTAACCCAGTCCCTCAGAGACTTTTAAAAGCAATTTTCTTTGGGAAGCATCTAATGAAATTCGCAGGGACTGCTTTCAAACAAAAGGCTGCTCTATCATTCAACACCGGCATGGCTGTAAAATTTTTGACAAATAATAATTATGTCCTTGACTCGAAAGACCCGGTCTCGGGGCAAGAAAAAAAAAAAAAGAACTCTAAGCTATTAAGTTATTTGGTTTGGGTCTCATACAAAGCAAGCGCCGCACCTACCTGCTATTTACAAGCAAATCACAGTTGGGTAAGAAAAATATGTTTATTACAGATAAGAAACGGAGATGTCCGGTCTCGGACCTCTCCGTCCAGAGAAGGCCAAGAACCGCCACACAGGATGAAATTAAGGTCAAAGAGCCCTTTACTCCCGGATTTTCCTCCTTCAAGGGCTAGGCCGGCACTGCTGGTGGGGATTTGAGAAAAGGAGCTGCACAAGTGGCTCCCCACTGAGGGAAGGGATTGGGGACGGTGGGGGGAGCGCTCTGCGGAGAGGGGGATGGAGAAACGATCCGGACCAGGAAGCCCCCGCCCCACCTGCCGCAGCCGGATGGAGCAGGGCGGGGCCGCAGCCAGGCTGGGCTGCGGGGAACGACCCGGCGGCCTCGCCGCCCCCTCCGCCCAGTCAATGACATTCCAGCGGCCGGCGCCCAGGCTCGGCCCGGCGGCTCCTCCGCAGCCCACGCACCACAAGCCGGTCGCGGCC